AAGGAAATCTTCACAATTACCTTAAGCAAAAATAAATAAATGAGAAAAGTGAAGGACTATTTGAAAATAAGAATTTTGTTATTGCCTTAAGAGAAAAGGAAAATCATTTTGCATTAATTGTTTCTATCAAACAAGAACCCCAAACATAGATATAAGAAAATAGGACTAATTACCAAAAACAGAGAGAAAATTTAAAAAAAAAAAAGGTGAATGAAAAAAATGAGTGTGAAAACTCTAAGTTTTTAGGCAACATTAAAAATATAAAGACAATAACATTTCTATAACATAATAAAAATCATGAATACAAAAAAAATAAAAGTCATGAAACACATACTGAAATAGGACCCCTTGTCAGAATAATCTCTTAATATTAAAGCGTAGTAACATAACAAGAAATTCAAATAATCATAATGTAATCAACCATCCTTTTTATACCATGTACCAGTAAAAACACTCATAGCAACATGTCAGAATTTGAATGAAGATTTTTTTTCATCATTAAAGATTCAGTCACTAGAAAAACAATACAAACATCTAATTCAAGATGGTAGTCACATCAAAAAAAATCTGATTTTCTTTCTCAAAAATCCTAATAAGAAGATGAAAAGGATATACTTGTTTTAAAAAAAATGGAAAGGAAGGAAGGGAGGGAGAGAGGAAGGAAGGGAGGGAGAGAGGGAAGGAGGGAGGGACGGAGGGAGGGAGGGAGGGAGGGAGGGAGGGAGACAAGACTTCCCCGCACAATAGAAAAAGTGCCAATAGCACACCACAAATAGATTCCAAGAAGACAGAAAGCAGATAAGATCGCACATGTGAAGACAACAAAGCAGAGGAAACATTATTATGAGGCAACATAAGCAGGCACAGTTCTTTGCAGCCATATCCTACAGAATACACAATTCTCTACAGTGGCATCATATAGAATATCACGACTTTGAGTCAACATATACAATAAGCAGCAATTGGCAAATAATCAATAAATGATTGAGGATTACAAAGCTAAACAAATTCAGTCCCTCCTTCTCAGCATCTTGCCAGCACTGTGTCTGAACTACATCTATCCTACCTTAAGCTTCTTCTTCAGAAAAAAAAAAAAAAAAAAAAAAGGAACAAGTTTCTAAAATCCCCTACGGCAACACCCAGGGATTTCTGCCAGTGGTAAACGATGTTTTGAAACATAAAAAGTCAGCTGGTGAGTAAGCAAATGATACTTCAGAGAATGTGGTTCTCTTCTGAGAAATCTTTGTAATCCTGTTCATTCCAGTCTGGTTTTTTAAAACAAAAGTGCAATGACTTGGTCTCCTCATGTTCCCAGTGTATTCCTAGCAGGGCAAGCAAAAACCTCTGTCAGCCTTCACTCGTGTTATTTACTGCAAAGAGGTAACTCTCAAAGTAATTTGTCCAAGCTCCACCAAAGCACAATGTGGGTACCTTGAAGACACCACTCATTTAAAACTCATACCAAGTCTGACTTTATTTCCAAAATGAGCGGTTCCCGATCCAGCAAGGATAATGTGGTCATGAAAAGGATGTCCAAAGCCACCAATTTACATTGGTTTGGTTTGGCACAACTTTCAAAGTTCTTGAAGTAAAATAGGGAACGACACGTGAATAACTGCAATTGAGATAATGCTCCCAGGATTTTAAGCTTGCCGTTCTGCGGCCATTCAGGGGAGCCCTAACCAGCTTCAAGATGGTACCTGCATAATTTATAATTACTAAAACCTCACTGATAGGTTCCAGATTATTTTTCGAAAAATGCATTGCCCTCTTTTTTAGTATACACTTTGCCATTTTCACCCCACTTACACAATTTAAAACGTATGATCGCAGCGGCGGGGCAGAACCTGCTCAGAGCGGGAGCCACTAAGGTCGAGATTATTACAATTTGCAAGATGGATGATGTTGCTATCTCTGCATCTAAAGGACAGAGAAGCTGTGTCAGTAGATTCATGCTGCAACTAAACGCTTTGCTCGGCTCCCTCTTACTTTCTGGTTGCTAACTGAAGCCACAAGACAGTTTCTCAGCTATGACTCAGTCACGCAACCACAGCAGTGGCTCAGGTCTGAATTACCCTCTCCATCTCCATCAGCAGCACACCCTGCCTTCGTCCCAAAAGAAAATAGGTTATTAAGGTAGACTAAGGCTGTTTTCTTTAAACGCTGCCATACTTTCATATTGTTCAGTTGTAATATATCCAATCCATGCTACTCTTTCAAATGTTTTTGATTATTGGACATTTAAAAAAAAATTCTACAGAAATTTTCAAAAGACCAAGGCCATTGTTTCTTTGGTTGCAACTTCAACTTACACAAGAGAAAAACAAAGCTTGGGATTCCGAGGAACTGTCGCAGTTGAATATCAGTCTACAGCACAAGACAACATAGACGCTGTCTCTAAATACTCCTAAAATACTATTATGAATGTTAGACAAAAAGTAAAAATGTACTTGATTTTATAGTATATTTTAAAAAGATTCATATCAAAATGAGGCTTAAGGAAAGTTATGATTCATATCCTATTGTTTGGGATTAGCTTTCACATATCTTTGACATCTCATAAATCAGCCAAACAAATAAATAAATACAAAGTCAGTGTATTCATCTTTACCAGATACAGATCGACTTTTCATCTTTAATAATTCTTTTAACTGAGATCTTTGACTCTTTTAAAGATAAATTGAAACCCTCCTTTACAGAACATAGACTCACATTTTTTTCCTAAAAATATTTTTTCTCTGAATTCCTTTCAAATAACTGGTAACCTATAGAATAATTAGGGTACTTTTCATTTGTTTAAATTTTATTTTGGGAGACAAGATGAAACTGTGTATCACTCTTCGTCTGAATGACATTGGGCTATATCTGAATCCCAACCCTTTCAAAGCTGCCCCAACTTGCTGTCCTGAACCTCATTCTATAGACACTAGCGCACCACCAATAATGACTTCAGAAAATTCAAAATCATCATCTGCAGTTGTTTATATGTTCACAAAAGAAACATTTTTAAAAGAGTACACAACCCTGTACAGTTTCTTTTTTTTTTTTCGAGACAGGGTTTCTCCTTAGCTTTTGGTTCCTGTCCTGGAACTAGCTCTTGTAGACCAGGCTGGCCTCGAACTCACAGAGATCCGCCTGTCTCTGCCTCCCGAGTGCTGGGATTAAAGGCGTGTGCCACCAACGCCCGGCTCCATGTACAAATTCTAACCTTTAAAATAAATCATATTGTTTTAGAGTTGTCAAATTAAGATAAAATGCCAACTACTTTCTGATGAAGCAATAAGAAAATTTAGTTATATTAGCTAAAATTTGGTCAGTAAATCATCCTAAATTAATCTTTTAACATTCAGACTTAAACACATAAGTATAAGGACAGCTGGATCCTACAGTGAAAGCAGGAATCATATATTAGAAAAGTGTTAATTATGATTTTCACATTCAATATGTCAATTTTTCATTGTACTTTGGGCAAACACAGTAGGTCCCTTTAATTCAACAGAGGTAGTTTGCACATTGGGAAGAAAAAATTATTTGATGTTTATAAAATGGACAACGTCTTGGATGGTTTTTCTATTTACAGATAGGTATCTCACTTCATCCAATTCTTCTGTGTTCTGAGAAGTTTGTACTTCTCAGAAAGGGGAAGCGTCTCAGTAATGTATTGTTCATTAGCTTACTCTGCAACTCCCAACCCATAACAATTAAGACATTTGCTAATAGCAACTCTACTCCGCTGCTATTCTCACAAGTTACTTTAGTTCATTACTTAGAAGAGTTCAGGGCACTGGCAATAGTTGCTCTGCCTTATATCACCGATGCCTGTGACATAAATTGCATTATTCTGCTGGAAGCTAATGAAGAAATGTTTTGCACAACACAAAAAGTCCTAATTTAAAATGTGTAGAAGTATAGAAATGGCAAACCCGTGGAATGACATTTCGTGTCATCAAAGATCTTTGTAATGTCTTTGTTACAAAATAGAATGAATTTCTTTCAACTTATTTAACATTTATTATCATGGATCATCATGATTAACAGTGATTTGACACCACCTCCTTGGAGAGGATGCTGGGATAATGGCCCATGCCCTTGGCCAGTAATCTCACCCAGACTTATCTGTCTGATAGCCTAGATACATGATACTCCTAACACAAAAATTAAAACATCAACATTTACTGGAGAGAATAATAGTACACGAATAAGTATTTCTGTATATTTTCTCATTTATTAATAATCCTAGAGACCTCGCTGTTAAAATGGCTAGATATGATAAGCAAATATGTCCAAAATCAAACAAGTGATTATCCAAGTTCCCTACAATATTTTGATGACCAGTTCCAAAATGATCTGAAACTCATAGAGCAATAGGCCAGAATTTTCCATATTTTCTTTTTATAATATAATATCTTATTATATGAACATGCTAGAAACTAGTCATACATTGAATGACTGTATACTCTGTAGCTCAAACATTAGACTAATGCATGCCAAGTGACAGTGATTGCAAGAGATGCAAAATGGAGCATGGTTGGGAATGAAGAGAGAGAGAAAGAGAAGGATGGGGGATAGAAAGAGGGCAACAAAATGAAAACAAAGAAGAGAGAGGAAAACAACTCATACATGTCTAATTATTTTATCTTTCCAATAAAGCAAGTGACATTCACACACACACACAGAGACACACACACACACATGCACGTTCTTTTTTTTCCTAACTTTTTTCTGCTTGTCTTAAGAATCATCTTAAATATGTCATGCAGTTGCATGGGTTTTTGTGTTTGCTTTAATGACAGTTGTATTTGACTCTGATTGTCTCAGAACTTTATGACAAAACTTGGGGGATTAAAATTTTGAGCGTTGCTTTAGTTGAAGTCATGAAGGAATGTGTCTTCTCTGTGGAGAAGGAGTATTAACAATCATGTACAATACACTTCATCATTGTTTGTTTATATTCTCAGTTCTTCTATGTGCTGGTTTGAAATATGCTATTTTGTTTTCAGGCCTAGATGTTGATGGAATATATCGAGTTAGCGGCAATCTGGCAACAATACAGAAGTTAAAATTTATTGTCAACCAAGGTAAGTGATTTCTTTACTTCAAACACTTTTCAGAAGTCACATCTCTAGTTGTGCTCAGGCAACTGTACACAATGAACAGACAGTAATAAATGTTTTGAGGGGGAATGACAAAATGCAAAAATTAAGGAATTATTGAACAATTACCAGAAAAATAAAATCATAACCAGGTACCTGAAGAGACATAGACTAGAAAGCCAAACTAATAGCTCATGTAAAATCAACAATGTGTAGAATAAAGAAATGAAAAAATAGGAAATAGAATAAATAATAAACTAAAGAAAAATAGCTCAGTTTGAAAAACTGTTACTGGGTTATAAGAGGTTCCTGATACGTGTTGATGAAAGGAACAATGGGCATATGATGGAAAGCACAAGAACCCAAAGCACAAATTCTCAAAAAAGAAAACATGAAAGATGTGTATATTGTTAATGAAATGCAAATCAGGAAACAAGATAAGGTTAACACCCATTGAGGGAAAACATAATGGCGCATCTTGTTGGGTCCTTACCAGCAGAAACGGACTCTCTGTACTGGCTGTTGTTTCCATACAAAATTCCACACACAAATATTTATAGCTTTATTCCTAATCGGAAAAGCTTGGAGATAGGGTCAGGATATGACTCAGAAGTTAGATGTCTGCCTCACACACTTGATGTATGAGACCCTGGTCCAGCCCCTGAAAGGGATGAATAAAAACTTGAAGGTAATAAGGTATGTCTCCGAATGTGATTGGACTAAAGTATGTGGTAAATTCATATAATGGAATATTTCTGTGATGGATAGAAACCACCTATTGAGCCATGAGTAGACCTGGGAGAACCTTAGATGTGTATTGCTGAATGGATAAGGTCAAAAGCTACCCACGGAAAACTATACAGCATTTCAGGAAAACTGTACAGATAGGGAAAGATTAGTGGTAACAAGTAATTTGAGAGAGAAGTAGAGTGAGCACAGAATGCGAGAGCAGTTAAAGAATTTTGTGTAATATCAGCATTGTGCGTTTATATTGTTATAGATTAGCTGAACCCATAAAATATACAACACCGAGAATAAAGGCTAGCATAAACCAGGGAGAGCTGTCAACAATAACATGTCAAGCTCATTAGTTGTGACAAAGTTACTTTGTTAGTACAAAGTGCTAACACTAGGGGACTCTCTGGGAGGTGTGAGGGAGCCCTTGTTAACTGTATGTGCTGGTCAACCTTTCTAAGAGCCTGAAGCTACTCTTAGAAAGTCTATTAATGAAAAAAATAAAACTAAGAACATTAGGAAATGAAGAATAGGATGCCTAAATGACCTTAGGGTGATATTTAAGTAGTTTGTACATTTCATAACCAGACAACTAGGGTGTCTATCTTTTCTGTGTTCTCTTCACACGCTTGGTAACTGAATTTATAATAGTATACTCATATCTACCCTCTAAAATTTCATCTCTGCTAAGACCCATTGATCTTATTTTTAGAGAGAATGTAATTGAATGTACACATGGGCTTTATACCAAGAAGCATTAAAACATGAAGGTCTTGACCTCAAAAAAATAGAATAAAGGGGTTGGCACACCTGCCTCTTCCACAAATCTCGATATGAGCTTGGATTTGAATCTTTCTTGCATTTCTAAAAGAGATAAATTGTGTTGTTTTAATTATGTGGTTTGTGTGGGCATGTGAACGTGACAGCTCATGCCCACAGAAGCCAGAGGCACTGGATCTTCTTGGACCTGGGGTTTACGGGCATTTGTGCGCCACACCCAACGTGGATACTAGGAACTGGACTCAGGCCTGGGCCACTTCTTCTGCCTGTTTTGCTGATGTTCTTGTTCATGAACCAGTGCTAGTCTCGAGGCATCCCTGTATTAATAACTGTGGAGTAAGTATGTATGTGTGTGCTACCTATGTATTGTGCAACTACGTGTGTGTATGCCTCTGTGAGTGTGTGCTTCTTTGTGTATGTGTGTGTATGTGTGCATATGCTTCTGTGTGTCTGGGGGGATGTTATGTGTACTTCCTCTATATGTTGGTTCCTGTGAATGCTGCAGGTAGAGGCATTAAAACTGGTAAAAATTAAACTGTTTATAAGTTCAGATGGAAAACCTCTTATGTGTGTTGACTAGTTCTTTGACTAGTTGTCCCATAATTCTTCTTTCTATGAATCTTTAGGGGCTCTGCTTATTGACTAATTTGGCTAGGCAAAACACAGAATTCAACTTTACATTACTTCATGTAAGTCCCATTGGTCTAAGCAACAGTGTCCTTCTGTGGGTAAAAATTTGCATGAAATAGCTCAGTCTCATTTTTATTCTGTTTGTAAGCAGCTAAAATCATTCTTGTAAGATAGCTCACGCTGAAACCATATCCTGACTGGGATTCTAGACAGCTGGGCAACACATTTCTCCTACAAAGAAGAAATCTCAAAACAGAAGCCATGCTAGAAACAAACACTAGCTGTATTTCCTGCCTTTAAAAAATTATGCTCAGCAGTTTGTTAAAGAAAAAAAAAAAACAATCTGCAATGAAAATACGAAATCTATCCATCTCATCTTTTACAATCCAGACTTGAGCATCCTCGGAGACGTTGTAACTGCTCATGTTTCTGTGAATGTTGACAACATAAAGCTGGACAGAGGCCTGAGTTGGGATCTGGTGGTAGAAACTGTCAGCAAACAGTCGTCCTGTTTTACAGCACTCTGAGAATTGAACACAGTCAACACAAATGAGGCGGCACTGGGACCTTTGATACTGCTGACTCGGTGTCCTGGAGTCTTATAACTTACATATTGAGGAGACAGAGAGATGGTCACCAGTTTAGAGCACTTGTTTTTTTTTTTTTTTTCCAGAAGACCTAGAGTCAATTCCTAGCACCCCTGTAGAGGCTCAGACTATTCGGGTTATCCAGCACCCTCTTCTGATTTGTGTGGTACCAGAAGTTTACATACACATAAATGTAGCTAAAACGCTCATAAATATAAAATAAAATTTAATACCCTAAAATTTCATATATCTATATATGTGTATATATTTATATATATACACATGTGTATGTATGAATGTATATATATACTATACACACACACACATATATATATCATCCCTTCTCAAAATTTGATGATTGGAGTATTATTTGAATTAGTGTTTGGAACAAGGCAGGTAACACATGCTTGTGTGTGTGTGAATGAATGATGAAATAAAATGCTGATGACATAAATTTTCCATTAAAGTATGCAGAGCTATGCAAGCATCATACATTCATTTTAAAATTTCATACAGGACATTGAAGAATTTGGTGTCCTCTCCTTCCATTAGCATCTTTTATCCCCTCTGTGTTCAACTTACATGATGCCTCTTTTTAAAAAGGTTCCAAATATATTTTTTTTTAAAAAATGAATAAGCCTTATCTACCGTTAGACTACACAAATGAAAACTGATTTTGGAGATTTTCAAGAACAGTTGAATTGCAATTTCTGTGTTTCGCTGACTTTCTTGAATGCTATAATCATCAGCAATTCTAAATACACCAGTTGAATGATTCAATTTGTTTTGGTTTTCTGTTTGACTCACTAAACCAGAAAGAATTAGATACCCTTATTATACTTCCAGATCAGATGACACACACGTTAAATTCAAAGAGATCACTTTTGAAAAACATTTCCTAATTAAAATTAGTAATGCTGATAATAATTTTATTGTATAGGTAGCTACCATTTTCACAATTTACCGTATCAGGCTGTGCACTGAATTCCCTACATATATATTTAATTTAATCTTTTCTTCAACCTTGTAGTGCAGATAGGTACAATGAATAAGCTTGTTGTTTTCAGTGAGGAAACTGAGGCTCAGTTGTCAAATGTCCCAGGATATGGGGCTAGAACTAGGTCGCAGATGTCTCGGACTCAAGTTTGTGCTGCTAACTCCTGCCAAGAAGCTACACCCTCCCCTCCCCCATGCACTGATTCATTATTACATCCTTCTTGCAAAAATAGAGAAGTGTCTCTTCAGTCTGGGCGTTCATTTGCACGTCCCTGTTTTCACTCTCCTTCTCAGCATTGGTTATTGGTGCTACTATTCAGTTTGGCTAAAACTATTCAAGAATGGGGATGTTTGGGAAAACATCACAGGAATGAGGAATCCTGGCACCTCGAATCTCTGTAGGGTTTATGATTCTATGTTTGGATCAAGAAGCACTTTGCAGCCTTGCAGAAAGGCATTACGGATTCTTGACTTCCTAGGCTATTGGTGTATTAGTGAGAGGTGCTCTGCCTTGTTTGTTGAATTTGGTGACAGCTTTCAGTGACATTTTGCTGATGCAACTCTTTTGGTCTATATGGGCATCCCCAAAGAAAACTGGTGCATGACCCTAGATGTCAACCTGTCATCAGCCTGTGTCATTGTGTTGATTCTTCTGCATGATCCGTGACCTCCTGGTGGCTTTGCAGCATGGGTGCATGTATGCAAAAGACAGGCTTCAACATAGAGGATGCTCCGTGGCTGTCTTAAGGACTTCTGACGGTGGGTCTTGAAAATCCCACCAGACTTCCTCGCATCAGCCCTCAGTCTCAGCTGCCGTCCGCACATATTGCCCCAAATCCAATCTTACATACATGTCTTCTGGGTTCACTCTTTCTATAAGAGACAGGAGAAGTTGGCATCTTCTCTGCAAAATACTACATTTGAAGCTGTCCCAAAGCCTGAGCCAATAGGATAGCTATAAAGCTATGTGGAGAAATAAGACAGGATTTTTCCAGGACCAGTGCTTCTTGATACATGGTAACAGATTCCCCCTGCAAGTGTTTGCCTGGAATAGGAGGATTTTAGAACTGATTTCCAGAGATAGAAATGCAGATAAAGGACAACATGCTCACATTTTCACTATGGGTGATCAAAATATGTGCCTTACAGAAATCTACATGGCTAAGAATCTTCTATGGACATGCACACGCATGCTTATTTGTTGTTTTTAGGGGGAGAGAGTTTTTTCATTTATAATCTTGTACTATCCCTATATTT